TTTCTTGATGTAATGATTCTGTAAACCTCCTGTGAACATTATTTAATCTGACATGTTGTATCACAGAGAGGAGAGGAGCAGCTATGAGTCTAACTGCAGCAGCGAGTGGATTAGTCGTCTTCCTGCTCTCTGTGTCAGGTACTGTACATCTACACTTACATTCATCACATGAACAGAGGGGATTCTGGGAAAATGTGGGACTTGTACAATCAGGTAATTTGTGGGAATAAGTGGATTGGATGAAATGCAAACTTTCCAGAAACATTCTAAATACATGTTTTGTCGTTTCGTTGAAACACGTTAATGTTTTTAAAGTAGTTCTTTAGTGTTACTTGTAAAGGATATTCGTACAAATATATTTCCTCTGTTGGTCAACGTGGATTGCATTTATCTTTTGCATAAAGTAACTGTGTGCTCACAACTTCTATACGCTTCAAACTGAGAATATTGTTCATTCAGAACTGTTCCCTCCTCTCCAAGTTATAACATTTAGCTTGTTCTTTTTTAAGATCTTGTTGTTTACGTTAAGTTTTAGTGTTTTCTCAGAAGTCATTTCTGTCTCTCAACTTCTCTTATGTCGCCATACGTCTGCACCGAACCCTTCTAGTTCCTTCTCTCCTCTCTGACCTCAGTGTTATATTCTCACGCTCTGAGTTAAAAGCAGTCTTCTTCTTTTTCCTATCTGCATCAGACAGAAGCTGCTCACGCCTCAGTGTTCTGCATTCATTGTTATTTTCACACTTACCTCAGCAGCAACCTGACCACAGAGCGAACAGAGAGGGAACTGGACAGAGAGTCACACACTAATCTAATCAATATGATCCCTAATCATTCACTGTTAATGTATATGAAGGCATCCACCAATCCTCCACAGCACTGACGTTGAGCTAACAGTTTGTTTTTGGACCTGGCATAATTGAGATATAACGCTAAAATAAGTCATACGGTATAAATGCATCAGGTATGAAGTGCCTCAGAAGGAGTTAAGATGAGTTTAACGTGCTCTTCTGCTCTTTCCCAGAAAAGTGTGTGAAATGTAACTCAGTAATTATTTGTTGACTCATAAACGGCTCTTTTTAAGCAATTTGAAAACACTTTGTTTATGGAAACTTGGAAACACATAGCAGTAGGACATATGATCTTAACAATGATAAATCTCATACAGATCTATATTCAGTTCTCTTTACATGACATGTTACTTGTTAGACGCTTTTATCCAAAGAGACTTACATACTCAACACTGTGGACAATCCCCACAGGAGCAATTTGGGGTGAAGTGTCTCAGGGACACAACGACATGCTGACTGCAGTGGGGTTTGAACCTGTGACCCCTGATCCCAACACCAACACTCTATCCACTGCGCCACACGCCTCCCGCCTTACATACCGTAGATGCATGATTAGAATATGTTTCTTATAATCAGGGATCTTGAGGCTTGTCCGGGTTACATCATCATGAAGTTATATTTGTATTATGATACCATTGTTCTCAGTAACTAATTGTTAACTTAAGTTTTTTAATTTGATTCTAGTTTCTGATGTGCTCTGTGTTTCAGCGGTTCAGGGTCAGGGTGGCTGGGGAGTGACTTACTCTTCTACTGAGAAGATCTGTGCAGTGAAAGGATCAACCGTGGAGATAAGCTGCACCTACACATACCCATCTCCATGGAGAGGCAGTGGCATAACAGTACAGAAAAGATTCTGGTACACTGAAAGGAAAGATGGTGAACGTGTAGATCTGAACACAGACTCAGAGTATGCAGGTCGTGTAGAGGATCTCTGTGAAAAGAACATCTGCACTCTGAGAATCAGAAACCTGACAGAGAGCGACTCAGCTAAGTACTGGTTCGAAACAAACCACCAAGATGGAAAATATAATGGTCCACCTGGAGTCACTTTGTCCGTCACAGGTAACATTTTCATTCATGTGTATCATTTCCAAATGTTCAAAATCTAGAAAACAATAATATAGATGTGTTTGTTTCATGGTGTGTGAGCTGAGCTGTGTGATCTGTTTGTATGTTTTGTTGGTTTGACTGTACAGCGCTTGTGTCTGGAGGTTTTAAAGTGCTTCATAAATAAAGCTGTATTGTATTGTATGAATGAATGTATGTTGACAGTTTTGATCTGAAATATCATTCCTGTTCTTTCTTCACAAATCCAGGTCTCACGGTACAGGTTAAACCCAAATATACTGAGCTGAGGTGTCAGAGCAGGTGTGATGTACCCTCTGGTCATTATGTCTGGTACAAGAACTTGACAACTCAGTCAGGAACATCTTCTAACCATTCATTCCTCTTTGGTGAAACAGCCACATATTCCTGTGCTCTGAAAGGACATGAGGACTTCCCCTCTCCTGCAGTGTGTGAGTTTACCACGACACACACACTGACATTACAATGCAATTCAACTTCAGAGATAACCTCACTGCAGTATTGTTAATCTGCATATGGAGACAGCAGTAGTACAAACACTTAGCTGTAACCTGTACATCATTGTAATAAAAGCAACATACAGTAAACAATAAAAGGAAAATCCTATACGCACCAAGAACATCTAAAAAAGAAATGTAAGAATACATTTGGAAGTGATTTTGGTTTATATTAAATATTTAATAAAAATATTTATGGTAACAAAAATATAAAATACCACCAGTAAATAAGCCATCTTAAGAAAATAAATAAGATGACTTGGAGATACTCAATTAGAATAAAGCAACGTTTATGAAACAAGTAAAAACAAAATATCAGAAATAACCAGGAATCCATAACCACAACGAAACAACAAAACATCACAATGAATAAATTACAAATGTTATAATGGGTTCAATTAAATCAAGAACAAGTGGAAGTGAAATAGTAAAAACAGGTGAACTTCATAATTTAAATTGCCTTAAGGAAACAACCTTTAGATTGTTCTGCGTGTTATTCACAGTGAAAGATGAAAGATGAAACATTTGGATGTTGCATGCTCAGTAAAAACAGCCACTATACATCATATGAAGAGAAGAACCAGTCGTTACAAACTAAAGACTCAAATGTTAAACACTTGTTATTGGCTGTCCGTTTCAAACATGAGTTTAAATGATTTGACAGCTCCAGCTCCACATGACAATAATACATGACAAAAGTAAAATCTAAAATAAATATTTTAGATAGAAAATGATGTGATTTTAAATATTCTTATATTTAAATATTAATGTTAATTTCTCCTGCAGACTCTCCAAAGCTCCCCTCTGTGTCAGTGAGTCCCTCTGAGGAGAGAGAAGAGGGCAGATCAGTGACTCTGACCTGTAGCAGTGATGCTAACCCAGCAGCTAACTACACCTGGTACAAGGAGGATGGAAAACAGAAACTTCGTCCTCCCACTAACAAAACAAAGCTTGTCCTCAGCTCCATCCAGTCCTCTGACTCTGGACAGTACTTCTGTAGAGCTAAGAACAAGCTGGGGAAGAAGAGATCTACAAACATCTCTATTGATGTGAAATGTGAGTTAAAATAGTTTCAGAGCTTTAATCTGTCCTCTCTTGGCTGGAGAAGATGTCACCGCTCATACTTTCTTCAGCTCTTCTTGCTTCACATTCACAGTCTGCTGTAGTTCTCTGAACTGACTTCAGGCCATTTTAGGAGTTTTAAAAAGTGTAAGGACCCATAATCAAAAATCTATTTCAAAGCAAACCTACAATAATCGTTAATACATCTGCTCAGGATGCTCCAAAGCTTCCCTCTGTGTCAGTGCCACTGAGATACAACAACAACACTTTACAGCTGTGTAGACAATAGAATGAATACATTTTCAGGGGGAGTAGGATTCATGAGGTGGAGTTAACGCCAACCTCAGTAACATCAACAAGGATTCTCATGGTCAGGAATATAGCTTAGGTTAGGCCTGTCTGTCAAAGGCCTTACTGAATGAGATGCTTGTTACTTTAGCATTTACAGTCGCTCTTAGTTCATTCATTGTGTTTATCATAAATGTTTGATAAACTCTCATTAACAACTACTTCAAATACTATGACACTGTAAGATGACCTAAGCTCTTATAAACCTTCCTGTAATAATCACATTGACACAATGGAAACATTACAGGACAAGAGGTTTAGACTGTTTCTAGGAGGCCATTCAAGTAGTGTCAAATATGATACATTAAAGTGGACCTATCATGCTATATTGAATAATATAGTGTAGGACCATACCTATATAAGGCATATTTATACTTTTTTTTTTTCAAAATACCAAACAGATCATGCATTTTAGCCATGCCTCATTTTGCTCAATTTGCACTTTTTTTTAGCTCTGCTCTGCAAGGGCAGATTCAGTGAGAACAGCACCACCTACAGGCCTGGCATATGTACTACAGCGTCTCCAGCGCTTTCGAACGGCAATGGCCGTGGCTGTCTCCTCCTGATTGGTGGAGTTGGCCCAATAGCCGTAGCGCCCCCGTCCTGACGTCAGGACAGTGTTCAAATCTGGATCAGTTTTTATCAGATCCGTTGCAGCCCCTTTTTTTAGAGATTTGGGTATGGAGGAAAATAGAGAGGGTTGTGTTTTCTGACACTTGGTGAGTTCCCTGGAACACCGGGGACACATATTCATGTAGAAAAGACGTACACAAGTGCATTTTGCATGATAGGTCCCCTTTAAATCACAAGAGGCGAATCACCTATATTAACACATTCTTAGAAATGATGTTCCTTTAATAGAAGTACAGTATTAATTATTTTTGCCAATGTATCTTGAAGAAAACCCAAATTGATGTGACTGTAATGTTACTCCAACAAAGCAACTTAGAGATATGTGTAGCTGTAACAATGCAAGTACACAACGTACCTGTTTCCTGTAGCTCTGCCTGCTAAGTTTAGATGCTCCCAAACATATCATTTCAATTTGTCTATCCTCATTTTCCTTGATTTATGTCATTTCTCCCAGATGCTCCAAAGCTCCCCTCTGTGTCAGTGAGTCCCTCTGAGGAGATAGAGGAGGGCAGTTCAGTGACTCTGACCTGTAGCAGTGATGCTAACCCAGCAGCTAAATACACCTGGTACAAGGAGGATGAAGACTCTCCAAAAGCTTCAGGACAGATCTTCACCATCACAGACTTCAGAGCTGAACACAGTGGGAATTATTCCTGTGGAGCCCAGAACAAGTTAGGACGCAGTATCTCCACCTTTCATCTGATTCTTGTGGCAGGTAAGTTTTATGGCTTCATCTTAAACCGCAAACTTATCCGCTTGTTTTTTGTTTCAGTCACATAAAGTGGTGTCTTTACAGGCCTCACTAAAAAATCTATTAGAAAGCTGCAGCTAATTCAGAACGCCGCTGCTCGAGTCCTCACTGACACTAAGAAAGTGGATCACATCACTCCTGTTCTGAAGTCCTTACACTGGCTTCCTGTGTGTCAAAGAATAGATTTCAAAATACTGTTGCTGGTTATAAAGCTTTGAATGGTTTAGGCCCAAAATACATGTCTGACCTACTGCTAAATTATGAACCATCCAGAACCCTCAGGTCTTCAGGGACTGGTCAGCTTTCTGTCCCCAGAGTCAGAACTAAACATGGAGAAGCAGCATTCAGTTATTATGCTCCAAATATCTGGAACAAACTCCCAGAAACCTGCAGGTCCGCTGCAACTCTTACTACTTTTAAATCCAGGCTGAAGACTTTTCTTTTTTGCCGCTGCTTTTAATTGAACTATTCACATCTTAAACTGCACTGTAACTTTTAACTTTTATCCATGTATTTTTTCTTTTAATGTTTATTTTATTATCTTTTCTTTTTAATGACTGATTTTAAATGCCATTTTTAAAATGTCTTCCATTTTTGTAAAGCACTTTGAATTGCCTTGTGTTGAAAGGTGCTATATAAATAAACTTGCCTTGCCTTGCCTTGCCTAGGAGGCAGAAGAAAGTTGCATCGTTGATGTGGGAAAGGGTGTAGGAACGTTTTATTTCTGTTACATACAAAATGGCTCATAGATATTCATTATAAAGAAGATGAACTTTATAAATCCCAATTTGGGATTATTTTTTGTTGCAGCAGCATAACTTAATAACAGATACAAAGAGTAGAAATAAAGAGTTCTAAAATATAAACATCTCAAAATAGAAATAGAAATAAACCAGCATCTCTTATCTCTTGTGTTTCGACAAATTGTTGGGTTTACTGCTGCAGATTGTTGTGCTGTCTTTCCCTGAATACTTACCGTGAGAGTTGTGTTTGTTTTGTTAAGTTAAGTCAAGCACACCCAATGTGAATAAAGGGTTCTTCTTGCCTACATAAGAACAGAAAAGTAAGGTAAATCCAAGGTCTGTGCAGTGCCCATTTTTTGGGACATTAGATGGCAATCACTGTTTGCAGATGATACCGTCCTTTTAATTAGACCTTGACTATTAGTGTGCCTAAAACTGAGAAGAACTTAGCAATGCAGGTAGTTGTTTTCAACATTAAGTATATGTTTTAGGCCACATTAAGGGTTTTTCTGGGCACAACTGAGCAGGAGAAAGTTTTGAGACAAACCGTAGACTCACTGGGCTGGTTAACTGTCCAGCTGGTCTGGGAGCACAAGGAGATTCAAAAGGAATGAAAAACAGTATTCACGGAGTAAAAAGTATCCCCATTAGAGAAACTGTATTAACTGACTGTTCTCTGTTGATCACTGTTTCTCAGGATCATGGGAGCTACTACCTTTTGTAACAATCCCTGTTGTTCTCCTGGCTGTCATATCTCTCTCTGTCTTCCTGTGGATCAGGTGAGCAGATCTGTTCAACTTAATCATTGTTTGTTAAATCATTGAAAATGTGTTTGTTAGAACTTTATCACTTTTTTTTAACCAGAAAAAAGAGGGCTTCCAGGGACTCTGCTGAACCTGAAGAGAGACCGGAACACACAGAAGAGGTGAGAATATTCCTATAACAAATAATGTTTATCTAGTCCTAAAAAATCTGTTCTATTGATACTTGTCTTGAAACGTCCTTAATCTTTTCTGTCATACAGCATCATGTTGATGAAGCAGGGATAATTCTTCCATCATACCACATTTGAGTTTTCAGTCCTGGCTGCAATCCTCTGCAAACCTCATACCAATTAACATTAAAATGTATAGCTGGTCCCAATGTCAGACAACAATATGTCCAAATGAGCAATCACAGGTCAAGGTGCTCTGCTGTTTCACGAGTTATCCTCCAAGTGTCAGTATTGGGTCCACTCGTGTTCATCATCTACGGCCTTCACCATGTTGTCCACTTTCACTGCTATTCCGATTATGAACAGGTCTACATGTCCACCAAACCCAAAACTACCCTGCTGCCAGGACATCAGGAGCTGGATGAACAGGAACTCAGTGGCAACTAAACGAATACCGTCCTCATTGGCTCTAAAACCGACCTCTCCATGCCACAAACCTTTACTCCCCCTAACCTAGTCATTGATTGCTTCTCTGTACCTTTCTCCAGTCAAGTCAAAAGCCTTGCGGTCACCTTAGAAGCACGCTCTCTTATCCACCAAACATAAGAAACATCACCCAGACTTCATTCTTCCACCTACGCAACATTTTCAGAATCCACCTCCATCTCTGTCTCAATTAAGTCTTAGTCCATGTATTTTTCACACCCTGTATTTACGATTGCAAGGGTTTCCTATCCGGCGGTTCCACCAATCTCTTCCACAAGCTCCAAATCATTCAGAACTCGCATCATTACCCGCACAGAATCCTCTGACCACATCATTCGCCTGCTCCCTTTTCAATACCGAAAATGTACTACAAAAACCTTTTACTCATCTACAAAGCCCTCCATAGTCTCACCACCACCACTTATCTCACTGACCTCTTTCACATGAGTATACCCCCTCCTGCTCCTTCCACTCATCCTTGTTTGACTATCTAACCATCCCCACTCATCACCAACCATGTTTTTCTTTTCGAGAATTAGTTTTATGCTTTCAAATGTGTCCTTGGGTGTCCTACAAGGCACCTCCAAATAAAAAGTATTATTATTTTTATTTTCTAGTATGCCACCATCATATCACCCCACCCTCATCCACCTCCACTGGCTGCCGGTCAAGTCCCGGATTCACTACAAAACACTCCTCCTCACGTACAAGTCCCTCCATACCCTCGCCCCCCAGTACTTAACAGACCTCCTACATCCCTACACCCCCTCTCGGAGTCTGCTCTCCATCCCCCGCTCTCGCCTTCGTACTGTGGGTGGCAGGGCGTTCAGTGTTGCGACCCCCACCCTCTGGAATGCACTTCCTGCTGAGATCCGGAGCGCTGCCTCACTGGACATCTTCAAATCCTCACTGAAAACGCACCTGTTCACCCTGGCCTTCGGACCCTAGTCCTTTCCTGGTCCCCTGGCCTCCTTTATTTTATTTTTGTTTTGTTTGCTCCTCATTGTCTGTTTTGTTTTGTCTGTCCACCATGTACAGCGACCTTGGGTCCCTGGAAAGGCGCTTTATAAATTCCATTTATTATTATTATTATTATTATTTCACAGGATGGGCCTCTTCAAAAATGTGCCATGAGACAATTATGTATCTTAAAGAAACATAACATGTATTAATTCAAAAGTGTTCAGCTTAGCTAGTTTTACTCTTACTTGGAAATGTTCTTAACCTGTTAAGCCCCAAGCCGGTTTTTCAGGTCTCAGGCTCGAAAATGACATTCCCAGAACAAATGACCATATCTTCCCTTCTAAAAGAGTTAAATCAATAATCTTTATTCTCAAAGTAATGATAAACCTGTGAGTTGGATTTAAAAAAGTCAGAATCAATATAGATGTTTTTTATTTTAAAGACAATTCAGATTGAACATAGTAAAAAACTGTAAATTATAGTGTCCGTCCAAAAATTCTTTTTTACTTATAGTGAAAACTACCCTTGGATGATGGGTTAGTAGACTAAAAGCTTTAGGAATCCAAAGTACAACATATACTAAGTACCCTGTATCAAGATTGATGCAAAACAAGTGACATTTGACCTTTTTAGAGAGATTTAGCAAAAACAACTTCACCTCTGAGGTGATTTGGGTGGAAATGGGTTTCTTTCCATATCTCTGGCCCCCCTTGGTCGATTTTGATGGTTGACACCTCTTTCTGACCGTTAGAGCCAATAGAATCGAAGGGGGAGTCCCCCACACACACTCATTGTGAAGAGAAAATGTGGGGGCTTTGCGCATGTAATTTTGCATCAGAGTGGACCAATCTCTAGCTTTGACATCTGGAAACGGAAAAGCAGTTTTAATGCTTATGGATTATCAGAAATCATTTCAAAGGGACACAGACACATTGGATTAACCTATGGATTAACTTCAGCAGCGTTTTTATCGTTTTAATGCCATTGAAGACCACTTTGGAGAGACTACAGAGCCAAGGTAAGCTTGTTAGCATTTTTAGCTACCTAGTGCCAAATGTTTTGATGTCTGTCTTTGCTTATACGCAATTTCGTATAATTCAGTGATAATGTCGGTGTCAATAGATTCTGTGTCACCTCACGATGTGAATCGATGTCTTGGATGTGGAGAAGAGATAATTAATAAGGTTTTGTGAGTGATTTTCGGTGCAGTAATCTGTTAGCATTTTTCGCTCGTTGCTAATTCAGAGGCTCAGCGTTAGCATTGTGGGTTTTCTTTTGAAAAATAAATAAAAATGATCAGTTAGATGAGTTTCTTCCCGTTACATGGATATAAAACATTCATAGTTTATTAAATGAACATGCCCTCAGACACTGTTTCCTGCAAGATGTTGCGGCAGTACCCCGGTACCGGGGTCTCTCGGGCTTAACAGGTTAATGCATCAAATTGTTCATTTAACTTGGTTAGCATTAATTCTTCCCCAATAAAAAAGTAGTGGCTTTCGATACAACAAAGGATGTGATCCCTAACTGGCTTCCCACTGCCAGCATTTTTTTATTGGGACACTGTAGATATTAGCATAGAGTTAATGATAAAAGACAATTACCTTTGTACATTTCTCTAATCACTTCACATAACATTTATTCACTCTTTTATTCATCTTCCAAAAGATAAATCAGAATGATTTTGAGGCCTACTTGACCTTTTATCAGAAATGTCCCAACTACTATTGGATTAAATGCCTTAAAGGTCCCCTATCATCCTCTTTTTCATCAATATATGACAGCTCTCAGATATATCCAGAGCCTGTCTCTGATTGGCAGAAACACCAAACAGATCATTGCAGCATTACCCATAATCCCTCTGTTTCAGCCCTGTTTCCAAAGTGCTGATTCTCTGTCTGTTACTTTAGATGAAAATAAGGAGCCCCTCCCCACGCCCCTCTGAGAGACATTTGGTTAAGAAGAACTCAATTGCCCCTTTCACACCAACACTTTTCCCGTTCTAGCTCCGTGCTAGAGCTTTTCTGGTTCGGAACCGGTTCACCGGAAACCCCTCACATCGACAACGACAACAATGGCCGATTTTATTGAAGCGCTACTCGTTTTGGTTTTCCATCGTTGTGTACAAACCATAGACTGTATATGGTACAAACTGGATAACGTGGGCTTTTTGTTGTTGTTCAGGAGGTTGATCCCGCCCCTGCCCCTGCCCCTGCCCCTGCCCCTGCCCCCGCCTCCGACGTAAGCGTGACGTATGCGGTTCTTGCTTCTCTAGACCGACAACTTTTTGGTGCTTGAAACAAACCGGATTCCAGAGCTTAGAGAAGGCTCCGCTGCGGTGTGAACAGGGAAAACCGGTGCTTTTCAAGCTCCAGCTCCGAACCGGCCCTGGAACCGCGTTGGTGTGAAAGGGGCAAATGGTGCTCTAGGAGGAGATTCAGGTGATAAGGTGGAGGGGGGGGGCGGGTTACCTTGGTTGCTGATTGGCTAATGGTTACACAAGCCAACACATAGTTATGACATCATAAAGTGGCCAAAATCTGATCAGCTCATTTTCAGACATGTTTTTATAGAAATGGATCAAAAAGAGAGAGAATCTTTGTTCCTGAAACTTTCAGAGTCTCTTTCCACAGAGGGGACACATGTTGATGAAGAAGAGACATGAAGAAGAGGGGACACATGTTGATGAAGAAGAGACATGAAGAAGAGGGGACACATGTTGATGTAGAAGAGACATGAAGAAGAGGGGACACATGTTGATGTAGAAGAGACATGAAGAAGAGGGGACACATGTTGATGTAGAAGAGACATGAAGAAGAGGGGACACATGTTGATGTAGAAGAGACATGAGGAAGAGGGGACACGTGTTGATGAAGAAGAGACATGAGGAAGAGGGGACACATGTTGATGTAGAAGAGACATGAAGAAGAGGGGACACATGTTGATGTAGAAGAGACATGAAGAAGAGGGGACACATGTTGATGTAGAAGAGACATGAAGAAGAGGGGACACATGTTAATGTAGAAAAGGATTTTGCAACATATTCATATCTTTCAAAAGGTAAAGCATTTTTTAACCAAGAGCTACTTTTAGAGTTGCCAGTCTGCCGAGATCTAGGGGCGTGCTAGCGAACTGTTAACTGGGGGGGAGCCTCGCTGTGGGGAAACGGCGGACCTCTGTCGGTGCAACTTCAATGATGCCTTTTAAAAACATAAAAAATGAAGGGCGGTGATGGCTGTCAGCGAATCGAGCCGCGGCCACGGCCGTTCTGTGATTCTCCAGATTCTACAGATGGCCAGTCCGCGGACGGTGGAAAATACATACCGGAATGAAAAAAAGACGTGCAACGGGACGGTGTTCCCACGGGAACAAAACTTAAAATATTAAATGAAACATTCTCATCTCTTAAAATTCACAACTTATTATGAATTAAACATTCACAAACTTATAACTATGTATTCACATGTTTAACTCTGTTACATGCACGCAACGAACAGAAGAGCGTATCAGAATTAGGAGGGAATTCCGTCTCGTAGCGTGTGTGCAGCGTTTAGAAATGCCGCTCTAAATTACCCTTCTTCGATAAAGCCACGCTCGCATTGCAGATGAGAGACAGATGGACTTTGAATTGGAATAGATACAAAAATAATCATCCTCCCACTCGGAGTGAAAATTATATATTTTGTGCTTTTTTGCTTCTGCCATAATTGCGGTCTTGTGTGTGTGCGGACTATCACTCCTGTTGCCACGGACAACGTCAGCGAACTAGTGCTGCCCCGACACATGGGGTCACGCCAATCACAAAGCTTTGATGCGTTCAAGTGCATTATTCTGGCACAGGAAGATTATGTTATAGGACATTAACGATAAAACAGAATATTGTTGTTCTATTTTTAGACACATCTCGCGATCGACTGGGAATCTCCCCACGATCGACCCGGGCACCCCTGCGCTAAAGTAACATATTGAACATGATGGATGTATGGATTAAAACCCACCCAATAAAACGTTTTGTTATTGAAAGGCACATTGGGTATTGGAGAGGAATATGCATTAGCTGATCTTGGTGCAGTTTCATACTGCTGCCACTAGGTTTTAGCAAAGAGCCGTATTTTTCACCAATAGAAAACCATTTCCAAGTTCCGGTGGGTATATAACTATCTTTGTGTACAGTATTTTAGCACACATGCTTTGTTGGCCGTCATGTTTTATTAACCAGCTCCATTATCAACATTTTATGTGATATTATGTTTTTGTAGTTTTAAGGTTTTTATCATCAGAGCTCATTATAATTGTGTCTCTCGCTTTGCTGTTCTGTTTGGCTCTGTAAGCACGTTTCTTTTTCTCTTCTGTATTGATTTGGTTTGATTGGTTTACATATAATAATGTGTTTGAAATGTTAACAGCTCATGTCTAATGCAATAAATATTGATGTTAAAATATCAAAGTGCATTTGTTTGATTGTAAAAACACTGGAAACAGCAACAACAAATGAAGCTGCAGTGATGAAAGTGCAGTGTTTGTCAGGATACACAGTCAGTGAAGGCAGACTGTCACACTGAGTGAACGTAGTGTGTGACCACAGCACAGCCACAGTCCTGCTCTTCCCTTACAGAAATATTTGTGGCTAAGCTTCAGTTTGTGCTGCATGTTGTCGTGTAGTCTGATTTTACACGTGGATTTCTGAAATATTGACAATTTAAATGTCAAACCTT